ATTTCCATGAACTGTATCCCTTTATTGTTCTGAGTACTTTCGAGGAAAATGACGGACTATTTGTGCTCGGCGTTGCCTTTTCTTTCCAGACCATTTTCGAATTTTTATACCAGCACGCTTTGAAGCGTTATTGTATTATAGTACGAAACATCTTTTTTATAAGCTAACTCGCAAAAAAGTGTTCATTAAAGGGTTCACTTATTTGGACGTTTCTCTGTAGAATTGGAATTTGCATAGCATGTGTTCTCTGCTTTGTTTGTGGCTAGTGTATGGTTTAATAAACTCTCGCGGCTGAATGGTTATTGTAAGAGAATTGTAATCTATATTTTGCTCTTCTTGGTGCAAAAATTATATTGAAAAATTATCAAAATAATTTATGAGGGACTCTTTTACACCTTATTGAAGATTTTGACGCCCTGAGCTCAAATGCAAAGAGTATTTATCCTGCGCTGAAATCCATGAAAGTTTAATTCATGGCGAATTTAAAGGTGATAATATGCCAAATTGATGGGATAGATTATGCGAGTTAAATGCCTGTTCCTATGATGAAGGGCGATTTGATAGAGCTTGGCATTTTTATTCATAATTCGAAGCGCTAAATTTAATCCAAACGAACAAATTAGTTTTAATAGTTTCTCTACTAGACTCGAACAAGAGAGCTTGTATATCAAGGCAAAGCTCCGAGTGCTCCTACCTTAATTCAAGGCCAATTTGAAAAAAGTTTGGGCTAGAAATTTGACGAAGTAAACTTGAAAATAATTTATTCCTTTACACGCTAATGAAAGCTACAAAAGGATAGGTTCAGCTTCTTGTATAGTAACTTAAAAACAAATTGATTTGCCTCAATTCACTTTGGAACGCAATAATCCTTTGCTTACGCGTGCTGTATGAGAGCAAAATTTTGCGCGTTATTACCCCTAATTGGTCAAATTAGCAATTTTTAAACTCTCGTAACTGAACGAAAAAAAATCACAGGTGACATAACTTTTAAAAATGAGCTCTTAAGACAATTTTTAGCAGTTGGCTTAAGAAAATTCTGTCAAAGCGCTTAGCCGAAAAATGGAAAATTGAATGAGTCAAAATAACCATTCCTAGCATAAATTCTGCACTTTTGGTCGAAATTTGGGTCAATATCTTCCTTCAGTACTTGTGACCATTATAGAAATCGATTCCTATTAAGGGCAAGTTTTGATATTTTATTGTATTTTTTTCCAGCTTTCGATGAAGTGTGGAATATTTATTCTTGGTTTGTTTTTAACTCGGTGAATTTCCGGCGACCCGAAAAGATTTTGCCCAAAGAATTTTTACTCCATTGATGATTTCGACTCTCTGAGCCCAAATATCAAAAGTTGTTTTACCTTCTTTATTTAATTTAAAATCTTGGAATTAGAAAAATGCGAATTTTCTTAGTGTCTGGACTACTTTTTGCGCGCTGTGAACATCTTATTTACGATGCTGAAAGGGTAACGCAATTTACTTATGCGTAGTATTCTATATGCACCACAGAACTTTATCAAATAGAATTGAGGCACTCTAATCGGTCCTATTTTTTTACGTTTTACTCATTTTTATGTTAGCAAATGTTGTTCGAACTTGTCCAAATTTTTTTTTCTTTTAAGAATTGATGCACGCAGTTCAGACTCTTAGATCGGTGGTGATCTTTCTTTTCTCAAAATAAGATTTGATCAAGCTTAAATTATTTTCGCTGTTTGATTTTTGATTCTTACTTCAAATTTGTGCATTTTTTTGTTAAAAGGAAGGAAAACTCAATTAATGATCACCGAAAGCGTAAAAGTAGCAAAAAATTTGATTGTGTTTTATTTTCGAAAATGGAATTCAGTTATCAGATTTTCCAAAAAAAAGTTATTCAGCAATCCAATTTTCTCAAATTGGGTTACTTTTATCAAGTAAGTGTCAATCAAACGTTTTTGTCTGTTAACTTGTGTTCATTGACTCTTTTTCAACTGTCTGTTGGCCATGTTTTAAAGTTTTTTTTACCAACAGATATTTAATTTAGATCAAGGGGCAGTCGGAACACTCAGGAAGTTGACCTGGTATACAGTTCGACTTGGTATACACGAAGTAGAAAAAAATGTACACAAGCAACGCTTGGTTTGACTTTCAAATGAGAATTAGAACGTTTTTGTGCTGTGTGTTTTTCTGATGACGAGTTTTGACTCTTTAACGGGGTCACTTTGGCTAGTTTGGGACAATTAACGAGCAGTGTATTCCATTCAATTAACCCGTAAACAACTATTTAACTCGGCTCAGAAATTGTTCCAATTGGATTTGAGGCAAAGCAAAAGTGTCTGTTAATTTGTTGCTAGATGTAGAAAACGTCAGCTCATACTTTAAACAGCGTGTTTGGTGATATAATCAACAAAAAAACTCTGAAATCATCATCTCTTAAATTTTTCATAACATGATTTTTTACTTCTAATTTAAGAAGGGGCAGTCGGAATTTAGTTTGTTCAACTTTCGCAGTTCATTTTGCGTACGGTATAGTTTTTGTTTTAATTTTATTTTCATGAACTGTTTCAGCTTATTGTTCTGAGTACTTTTGAGGAAAATGGCGGACTATCTATGGTCATCGTGGTTTTTTCTCTCCAGACAGTTTTTGACTTTTTATACTAGCAGGCTTTGTCCGAAAGTTAATCGAATGAGTTTTAGACGTCATAGAGAATTGTCCGATAGTGCGTTTGACTCGTATTGGCGATTTATTGCAAATTAAGGGGTTGGAATAACCATTTTTTTGTTTTTGGGCCGACAATTTTTCACATCCATTCGACGTCAGTAATTAGACGATTTTCAGCATAGCGTCCTAATTGCACCCACTTCACAGCTTTTTGTAACCGACCAAAGTAAACCTTGAAAGTAAAATTGCCCATTCTCTTCGCAAATTTTCCAAAATCGTTTCAAAAATCTTTGTTTTTCTTTCATCAAGATTAATCAATATTTCTTGAAAAATCTTCGAATTATCGTCCAAGACAGCCAAGATTTTCTTTGTGATTTCACCAAGATTCTTAAAAAGTTTTCAAAGACGTTAAAGATTGGTGAAATTGGATTGCATTTGTTTGTGCACAAATTGTTGTTTACATTGATGATTTCAATGATTTTATTGCATTTTTTGTGCTCAAAGTTTTGTTTATTTTGATGATTTCATTGCTTATTTATGTGCCCAAAATGATGTTTATATTAATGATTTTCATGATTTTAGTGCATGTTTTTGTGAACGAAATCTTGTTTATACTGATAATTTTCATGATTTGTGTCGTGCATTTTGAATTCAACTTTCGTTCTTAATTTTCAAAAAGCATGCTTAAACAACAGTAAAAAATTTTGTTTTTTAGGCAATATAATCCATGTTTTAGACAATAAAATTGATTTTTTGGGTCCTTATAAAATGCATTACAATAGATTTTATTCGGATTTTATACTGCAAAAAATTCCATTTTCTAGTTTACATTATTGACTTTTTGAACCGTATAAACTCCCTGTATTATCCATTTTTGTGTCTAACTGGGTTACAATACAATCAATTTTGTACTAGTCGAAAATCTGTATAGAAATAGATTATAATCGATTGCAATCTTATTTTTGCCAATGCGGGTAACTAATCTAAATGGCTCAGCCGAAAGTGGATCTCGTAAAACATTAACTTAGCAGAATGGCTAACGAATCATAGTGGAAATTCTTTGGGTGTTGAAGAAAAATGGAAGTGAAATTGTTATGCTCCTGTTAGTGAAGCATTGTGGAGATTCGCCTTCCTCTTCTGAATTAAACTTCCGACTTATCTGTGAGAGAATAGCTGATAAATACTTGTTTGCAATTGCGAATTAAGGGGGAGGAGAAGGGACGCCATCCCCACTCAGGAATTTGACCCTCTGATAACCCAACTGGGTCCGCCTTTGGTATTTTAAACTATTTTAAAGTTTTTCCAACAGCCATTGACGCCAATGTATAATAATTTTGATGATCATTTTGTCGGAACTTTCTAAAAAAGGCCGAAAAACGCCATTTTTGTCCTGTTTTTCAAAAGTTTGCCGCCCCCCACCCCCCCTCATTCGAGAAAATCTTAAATCCGCCCGCCGTTTTTTGATGTTTGTCTAGATCAAACTAATTTTAAGCATTTTTTGACGGAACATGGCGGATACGCGAAGGCAGCATTCAATAGCAGAAGATTATTCCAACTTTCACTACTTTAAATCAAGATTGTAAACGGGACGCGGATCTATTATTTTCGCGGTTAGAAAGCGGGATGCGGAGGTTTCAAAAAAATTGCAGTTTTCATCTATCCTTTCCGTTTGGTTGGCTAAATTGAGTTTAAGAGCTCTAGTTCAATTGTCTTTCTTAAAAGACCTTATTCGGCCTAAGGCGAAGAGGTTCTGCGTCGCAAAAAAAAATTTTGGGAACCTTTAGCTAAGTTTTTATCAGAAGAATCACGTTCTATCGGCACTCGCATCCCGCTCAAACTTAGTATTTATATGCGCCGGATGCGCCGATATAACAATAATGAAGTGAGTCAGTTAAATTGGTTGCCATAAAACGCTATAGAAAATCTTCAGATGGCCTGAGTGTCAATTTTTTCAAGGGAAGGTAAGCAAACGCTGATTTGAACTATGAAGAGGCGGTGATCATGTGTAATCCGTATTCAGTTTTTCACGTTGGTTAAAGCTTTAGTGAACTTTCCTTTTTTGGTTTTGTTACTTTTTGAAGTTATGAACTCTAACACAGCTTATGATATCAGATGTTTATTTGCTTTCGGTGTTTTTATGGCAGCAGCCTTATGCTTCGCTAAATGGCCAACGTTTGAACTTGCGCGAATAAATTCAATTTTTTTCTGATGTAAAAGTTTTTATGAACCGACAACTAGTCTGTAAAACCTCCGGAAAATTGCGTGCGTACACTTAATTAATTCAATTGCGTCAATAGTTTGGAGTTTGTATTTGTTTTGGTTACAAAAATTAGGCAATCATTTGGTTTCAGTGCCTGTTTGTGCCGTATATAGCCGAATAATTCATTATTCAGATAAAATCTTTGAAAAACAGTCCAAAATATAAACAGCTGGAGTTTTTTCTATCCATTTACTCGTAATAAAAAGAAGCGGATAATAAACTAAACATAAAAATGACTGAAACCTCATCTATTCCGAAGATTTGCAGTGGCGTCGGAATTGTGGGTCAACTGATGTTTTTTGTTTTCGGATTTTTCTTCCACTGGCCTGCGATGTGGTACTTGGAACTACCAACAGTCCAGTACACCGGTGGTGCGTACAGTTGGTGTGGCAAGGCGACTGGATTTGGTAGTTGGAGTTGCTCTTCAATCGGCTCAGCTGAGGCGTAAGTGAACATCACGCACAATTGGAATAGCGGCATATTTGGAAGTTGAGGGAGGAAAGCTTAGATAAATAACAAATTTATTTTTTGAAATTCGAATTTCAATAAATATTTTGAAAGTAGATATTCTTATAATGGCAGGTTGTTACTGAGGTTTTAGCATGGCGTCCGCATCTCAAGTTTCTAAAGCCTTGAAATTTTCCAAAGCAAGCTGAGCTTCCCTTTATTTGTTACTTGACGTCGATCTATATGAAACACTGTTAACCCACAAAGATGAAAAACTGTTAGCCCGCAAATGTAGCTTTTTTGTACTCTGTGTTAAACCAAACATGGGACAATAAATTGATCATTGTGGAAATTCGCATATAGCTAAACTTCATAAGTCCTTAAACACTTAAGCTCATACTGTGTTGCAGAGAAGCTTTTGGCCATGAATGGGGAGCATACATGGGCATACGTGTCATGGTAGCCTTCGCATACATCACTGGCATCGTCGCTATTATTTTGCTCTACGTCAATTTGTGCGTCAAGGTAACATAATCGCCCAAAGTTAAAATCATGCAAACTTTTTAAATGCGCAGACAAAATATGCTGTACAAAAGTACCAAATAGAAAAACCTTTTGTGTGTACTTTAAAAATTTGGAAGACGTTCTTTGTGTTTTCTAGAGTTTGAATTTTTCTAGAAAAGGGGAGTTGCGACGGCAGGAGTCGGTTTTGCGGCCGCCGAGTGTCTATTTGTGCTAATTGCGGCTGCATTGTGCTCGAGCACCTTCAGTGAAGCCTTTGGACTAGACACCGACCCCGCCTATGCTATGTTCATGGCATGGGTGGCGTGGATCACCACTATTTTGGTGACGGTGATGGCTGTCCTCGCACTGGTCTTCACAATCAAGGATGAGAACAAAGTATAAGGATACCTGCATCAATTTTGACGTGCTTACTTTGATATAAATTAATCTCTATATGATTTCCCCATTGCTTTCGTCCTTTTCTCTTTATATAAAATAAAGCATGTTTGCTGCATAGATACCATGAAACAAAATTAAAAACTGTATACTTCCGGGACGTCATCGAAATGGACGAATCGATGACCGCAGTTAAACTGCTTAAAATTGTACTAACAAACTGAATTAGAAATAAAAAATTTAAATTTGTTTCTACTCTGTTTTTCTTTTGAATCAATTTGACAAACCACCTAAAAGTATTCAAAACTCAAGCTTCCAAAATAAGAATTGAGTGAGATTTTTGAAATTACATCTACTTACGGTATAGCAAAAATATTTCAACGAAAGACAACATGTGTGAAAAACAATTTGAAAGACAACTCATGCAAAGTCAATCGAAAACAAGGATATCCAGTTGCTCTGCAAGTAGCACAGAATAGACCGGCCATATTCCATTCAAGTAACCCGTAAACAGCTATTTAACTCGGCTTAGATAAATAACAAATTTATTTTTTGAAATTCGAATTTCAATAAATATTTTGAAAGTAGATATTCTTATAATGGCAGGTTGTTACTGAGGTTTTAGCATGGCGTCCGCATCTCAAGTTTCTAAAGCCTTAAAATTTTCCAAAGCAAGCTGAGCTTCCCTTTATTTGTTACTTGACGTCGATCTATATGAAACACTGTTAACCCACAAAGATGAAAAACTGTTAGCCCGCAAATGTAGCTTTTTTGTACTCTGTGTTAAACCAAACATGGGACAATAAATTGATCATTGTGGAAATTCGCATATAGCTAAACTTCATAAGTCCTTAAACACTTAAGCTCATACTGTGTTGCAGAGAAGCTTTTGGCCATGAATGGGGAGCATACATGGGCATACGTGTCATGGTAGCCTTCGCATACATCACTGGCATCGTCGCTATTATTTTGCTCTACGTCAATTTGTGCGTCAAGGTAACATAATCGCCCAAAGTTAAAATCATGCAAACTTTTTAAATGCGCAGACAAAATATGCTGTACAAAAGTACCAAATAGAAAAACCTTTTGTGTGTACTTTAAAAATTTGGAAGACGTTCTTTGTGTTTTCTAGAGTTTGAATTTTTCTAGAAAAGGGGAGTTGCGACGGCAGGAGTCGGTTTTGCGGCCGCCGAGTGTCTATTTGTGCTAATTGCGGCTGCATTGTGCTCGAGCACCTTCAGTGAAGCCTTTGGACTAGACACCGACCCCGCCTATGCTATGTTCATGGCATGGGTGGCGTGGATCACCACTATTTTGGTGACGGTGATGGCTGTCCTCGCACTGGTCTTCACAATCAAGGATGAGAACAAAGTATAAGGATACCTGCATCAATTTCGACGTGCTTACTTTGATATAAATTAATCTCTATATGATTTCCCCATTGCTTTCGTCCTTTTCTCTTTATATAAAATAAAGCATGTTTGCTGCATAGATACCATGAAACGAAATTAAATACTGTATATTTCCGGGACGTCATCGAAATGGACGAATCGATGACCGCAGTTAAACTGCTTAAAATTGTACTAACAAACTGAATTAGAAATAAAAAATTTAAATTTGTTTCTACTCTGTTTTTCTTTTGAATCAATTTGACAAACCACCTAAAAGTATTCAAAACTCAAGCTTCCAAAATAAGAATTGAGTGAGATCTTTGAAATTACATCTACTTACGGTATAGCAAAAATATTTCAACGAAAGACAACATGTGTGAAAAACAATTTGAAAGACAACTCATGCAAAGTCAGTCGAAAACAAGGATATCCAGTTGCTCTGCAAGTAGCACAGAATAGAACGGCCATATTCCATTCAATTAACCCGTAAACAACTATTTAACTCGGCTCAGAAATTGTTCCAATTGGATTTGAGGCAAAGCAAAAGTGTCTGTTAATTTGTTGCTAGATGCTGAAAACGTCTGCTCATACTTTAAACAGCTTATTTGGTGATATAATCAACAAAAAACTCTGAAATTATCATCTTCTAAATTTTTCATAACATGATTTTTTTCTTCTAATTTAAGATAGGCAGTCGGAACTTGGTTTGTTCAACTTTCTCAGTTATTTTCTCGTAGGGTATAGGTTTTTGTTCTAATTTTATTTCCATGAACTGTATCCCTTTATTGTTCTGAGTACTTTCGAGGAAAATGACGGACTATTTGTGCTCGGCGTTGCCTTTTCTTTCCAGACCATTTTCGAATTTTTATACCAGCACGCTTTGAAGCGTTATTGTATTATAGTACGAAACATCTTTTTTATAAGCTAACTCGCAAAAAAGTGTTCATTAAAGGGTTCACTTATTTGGACGTTTCTCTGTAGAATTGGAATTTGCATAGCATGTGTTCTCTGCTTTGTTTGTGGCTAGTGTATGGTTTAATAAACTCTCGCGGCTGAATGGTTATTGTAAGAGAATTGTAATCTATATTTTGCTCTTCTTGGTGCAAAAATTATATTGAAAAATTATCAAAATAATTTATGAGGGACTCTTTTACACCTTATTGAAGATTTTGACGCCCTGAGCTCAAATGCAAAGAGTATTTATCCTGCGCTGAAATCCATGAAAGTTTAATTCATGGCGAATTTAAAGGTGATAATATGCCAAATTGATGGGATAGATTATGCGAGTTAAATGCCTGTTCCTATGATGAAGGGCGATTTGATAGAGCTTGGCATTTTTATTCATAATTCGAAGCGCTAAATTTAATCCAAACGAACTAATTAGTTTTAATAGTTTCTCTACTAGACTCGAACAAGAGAGCTTGTATATCAAGGCAAAGCTCCGAGTGCTCCTACCTTAATTCAAGGCCAATTTGAAAAAAGTTTGGGCTAGAAATTTGACGAAGTAAACTTGAAAATAATTTATTCCTTTACACGCTAATGAAAGCTACAAAAGGATAGGTTCAGCTTCTTGTATAGTAACTTAAAAACAAATTGATTTGCCTCAATTCATTTTAGAACGCAATAATCCTTTGCTTACGCGTGCTGTATGAGAGCAAAATTTTGCGCGTTATTACCCCTAATTGGTCAAATTAGCAATTTTTAAACTCTCGTAACTGAACGAAAAAAAATCACAGGTGACATAACTTTTAAAAATGAGCTCTTAAGACAATTTTTAGCAGTTGGCTTAAGACAATTCTGTCAAAGCGCTTAGCCGAAAAATGGAAAATTGAATGAATCAAAGTAACCATTCCTAGCATAAATTCTGCACTTTTGGTCGAAATTTGGGTCAATATCTTCCTTCAGTACTTGTGACCATTATAGAAATCGATTCCTATTAAGGGCAAGTTTTGATATTTTATTGTATTTTTTTCCAGCTTTCGATGAATTGTGGAATATTTATTCTTGGTTTGTTTTTAACTCGGTGAATTTCCGGCGACCCGAAAAGATTTTGCCCAAAGAATTTTTACCCCATTGATGATTTCGACTCTCTGAGCCCAAATATCAAAAGTTGTTTTACCTTCTTTATTTAATTTAAAATCTTGGAATTAGAAAAATGCGAATTTTTTTAGTGTCTGGACTACTTTTTGCGCGCTGTGAATATCTTATTTATGATGCTGAAAGGGTAACGCAATTTACTTATGCGTAGTATTCTATATGCACCACAGAACTTTATCAAATAGAATTGAGGCACTCTAATCGGTCCTATTTTTTTACGTTTTACTTATTTTTATGTTAGCAAATGTTGTTCGAACTTGTCCAAATTTTTTTTCTTTTAAGAATTGATGCACGCAGTTCAGACTCTTAGATCGGTGGTGATCTTTCTTTTCTCAAAATAAGATTTGATCAAGCTTAAATTATTTTCGCTGTTTGATTTTTGATTCTTACTTCAAATTAGTGCATTTTTTTGTTAAAAGGAAGGAAAACTCAATTAATGATCACCGAAAGCGTAAAAGTAGCAAAAAATTTGATTGTGTTTTATTTTCGAAAATGGAATTCAGTTATCAGATTTTCCAAAAAAAAGTTATTCAGCAATCCAATTTTCTCAAATTGGGTTACTTTTATCAAGTAAGTGTCAATCAAACGTTTTTGTCTGTTAACTTGTGTTCATTGACTCTTTTTCAACTGTCTGTTGGCCATGTTTTAAAGTTTTTTTACCAACAGATATTTAATTTAGATCAAGGGGCAGTCGGAACACTCAGGAAGTTGACCTGGTATACAGTTCGACTTGGTATACACGAAGTAGAAAAAAATGTACACAAGCAACGCTTGGTTTGACTTTCAAATGAGAATTAGAACGTTTTTGTGCTGTGTGTTTTTCTGATGACGAGTTTTGACTCTTTAACAGGGTCACTTTGGCTAGTTTGGGACAATTAACGAGCAGTGTATTCCATTCAATTAACCCGTAAACAACTATTTAACTCGGCTCAGAAATTGTTCCAATTGGATTTGAGGCAAAGCAAAAGTGTCTGTTAATTTGTTGCTAGATGTAGAAAACGTCAGCTCATACTTTAAACAGCGTGTTTGGTGATATAATCAACAAAAAAACTCTGAAATCATCATCTCTTAAATTTTTCATAACATGATTTTTTACTTCTAATTTAAGAAGGGGCAGTCGGAATTTAGTTTGTTCAACTTTCGCAGTTCATTTTGCGTACGGTATAGTTTTTGTTTTAATTTTATTTCCATTAACTGTTTCAGCTTATTGTTCTGAGTACTTTTGAGGAAAATGGCGGACTATCTATGGTCATCGTGGTTTTTTCTCTCCAGACAGTTTTTGACTTTTTATACTAGCAGGCTTTGTCCGAAAGTTAATCGAATGAGTTTTAGACGTCATAGAGAATTGTCTGATAGTGCGTTTGACTCGTATTGGCGATTTATTGCAAATTAAGGGGTTGGAATAACCATTTTTTGTTTTTGGGCCGACAATTTTTCACATCCATTCGACGTCAGTAATTAGACGATTTTCAGCATAGCGTCCTAATTGCACCCACTTCACAGCTTTTTGTAACCGACCAAAGTAAACCTTGAAAGTAAAATTGCCCATTCTCTTCGCAAATTTTCCAAAATCGTTTCAAAAATCTTTGTTTTTCTTTCATCAAGATTAATCAATATTTCTTGAAAAATCTTCGAATTATCGTCCAAGACAGCCAAGATTTTCTTTGTGATTTCACCAAGATTCTTAAAAAGTTTTCAAAGACGTTAAAGATTGGTGAAATTGGATTGCATTTGTTTGTGCACAAATTGTTGTTTACATTGATGATTTACATGATTTTATTGCATTTTTTTGTGCTCAAAGTTTTGTTTATTTTGATGATTTCATTGCTTATTTATGTGCCCAAAATGATGTTTATATTAATGATTTTCATGATTTTAGTGCATGTTTTTGTGAACGAAATCTTGTTTATACTGATGATTTTCATGATTTGTGTCGTGCATTTTGAATTCAACTTTCGTTCTTAATTTTCAAATAGCATGCTTAAACAACAGTAAAAAATTTTGTTTTTTAGGCAATATAATCCATGTTTTAGACAATAAAATTGATTTTTTGGGTCCTTATAAAATGCATTACAATAGATTTTATTCGGATTTTATACTGCAAAAAATTCCATTTTCTAGTTTACATTATTGACTTTTTGAACCGTTTAAACTCCCTGTATTATCCATTTTTGTGTCTAATTGGGTTACAATACAATCAATTTTGTACTAGTCGAAAATCTGTATAGAAATAGATTATAATCGATTGCAATCTTATTTTTGCCAATGCGGGTAACTAATCTAAATGGCTCAGCCGAAAGTGGATCTCGTAAAACATTAACTTAGCAGAATGGCTAACGAATCATAGTGGAAATTCTTTGGGTGTTGAAGAAAAATGGAAGTGAAATTGTTATGCTCCTGTTAGTAAAGCATTGTGGAGATTCGCCTTCCTCTTCTGAATTAAACTTCCGACTTATCTGTGAGATAATACCTGATAAATACTTGTTTGCAATTGCGAATTAAGGGGGAGGAGAAGGGACGCCATCCCCACTCAGGAATTTGACCCTCTGATAACCCAACTAGGGTCCGATTTTGGTATTTTAAACTATTTTAAAGTTTTCGAACAGCCATCGACGCCAATGTATAATAGTTTTGATGATTATTTTGTCTGAACTTTCTAAAAAAGGCCGAAAAGCGCCTTTTTGTCCTGTTTTTCAAAAGTTTGTCCCCCCCCCCCCCCCCCCCCCCCCTCATTCGAGAAAATCCTAAATCCGCCCGCCGCTTTTTGATGTTTGTCTAGATCAAACTAATTTTAAGCATTTTTTGACGGAACATGGCGGATACGCGAAGGCAGCATTCAATAGCAGAAGATTATTCCAACTTTCACTACTTTAAATCAAGATTGTAAACGGGACGCGGATCTATTATTTTCGCGGTTAGAAAGAGAGGTGGTTTCAAAAAAATTGCAGTTTTCATCTATCCTTTCCGTTTGGTTGGCTAAATTGAGTTTAGGAGCTCTAGTTCAATTGTCTTTCTTAAAAGACCTTATTTCGCCTAAGGCGAAGAGGTTCTGCGTCGCAAAAAATTTTTTTGGGAACCTTTAGCTAAGTTTTTATCAGAAGAATCACGTTCTATCGGCACTTGCATCCCGCTCAAACTTAGTATTTATATGCGCCGGATGCGCCGATAGAACAATAATGAAGTGAGTCAGTTAAATTGGTTGCCATAAAACGCAATAGAAAATCTTCAGAAGGTCTGAGTGTCGATTTTTTCAAGGAGAGGTAAGCAAACCCTGATGTGAACTATGAAGAGACGGTGATCATGTTTAATCCGTATTCAGTTTTTCACGTTGGTTAAAGCTTTTGTGCACTTTCCTTTTATGGTTTTGTTACTTTTTGAAGTTTTGAACTCTAACACAGCTTATGATATCAGATGTTTATTTGCTTTCGGTGTTTTTATGGCAGCAGCCTTATGCTTCGCTAAATGGCCAACGTTTGAACTTGCGCGAATAAATTCAATTTTTTTCTGTAGTGAAAGTTTTTATGAACCGACAACTAGTCTGTAAAACCTCCGGAAAATTGCGTGCGTACACTAAATAAATTCAATTGCGTCAATAGTTCGGAGTTTGTATTTGTTTTGGTTACGAAAATTAGGCAATCATTTGGTTTCGGTGCATGTTTGTGCCGTATATAGCCGAATAATTCATTATTCAGATAAAATCTTTGAAAAACAGTCCAAAATATAAACAGCTGGAGTTTTTTTCTATCCATTTACTCGTAATAAAAAGAAGCGGATAATAAACTAAACATAAAAATGACTGAAACCTCATCTATTCCGAAGATTTGCAGTGGCGTCGGAATTGTGGGTCAACTGATGTTTTTTGTTTTCGGATTTTTCTTCCACTGGCCTGCGATGTGGTACTTGGAACTACCAACAGTCCAGTACACCGGTGGTGCGTACAGTTGGTGTGGCAAGGCGACTGGATTTGGTAGTTGGAGTTGCTCTTCAATCGGCTCAGCTGAGGCGTAAGTGAACATCACGCACAATTGGAATAGCGGCATATTTGGAGGGTGAGGGAGGGAAAGCTTAGATAAATAACAAATTTATTTTTTGAAATTCGAACTTCAATAAATATTTTGAAAGTAGATATTCTTATAATGGCAGGTTGTTACTGAGGTTTTAGCATGGCGTCCGCATCTCAAGTTTCTAAAGCCTTGAAATTTTCCAAATCAATTTGAGCTTGCCTTTATTTGTTACTTGACGTCGATCTATATGAAACACTGTTAACCCACAAAGATGAAACACTGTTAGCCCGCAAATGTAGCTTTTTTGTACTCTGTGTTAAACCAAACATGGGACAATAAATTGATCATTGTGGAAATTCGCATATAGCTAAACTTCATAAGTCCTTAAACACTTAAGCTCATACTGTGTTGCAGAGAAGCTTTTGGCCATGAATGGGGAGCATACATGGGCATACGTGTCATGGTAGCCTTCGCATACATCACTGGCATCGTCGCTATTATTTTGCTCTACGTCAATTTGTGCGTCAAGGTAACATAATCGCCCAAAGTTAAAATCATGCAAACTTTTTAAATGCGCAGACAAAATATGCTGTACAAAAGTACCAAATAGAAAAACCTTTTGTTTGTACTTTAAACATTTGGAAGACGTTCTTTGTGTTTTCTAGAGTTTGAATTTTTCTAGAAAAGGGGAGTTGCGACGGCAGGAGTCGGTTTTGCGGCCGCCGAGTGTCTATTTGTGCTAATTGCGGCTGCATTGTGCTCGAGCACCTTCAGTGAAGCCTTTGGACTAGACACCGACCCCGCCTATGCTATGTTCATGGCATGGGTGGCGTGGATCACCACTATTTTGGTGACGGTGATGGCTGTCCTCGCACTGGTCTTCACAATCAAGGATGAGAACAAAGTATAAGGATACCTGCATCAATTTCGACGTGCTTACTTTGATATAAATTAATCTCTATATGATTTCCCCATTGCTTTCGTCCTTTTCTCTTTATATAAAATAAAGCATGTTTGCTGCATAGATACCATGAAACAAAATTAAATACTGTATATTTCCGGGACGTCATCGAAATGGACGAATCGATGACCGCAGTTAAACTGCTTAAAATTGTACTAACAAACTGAATTAGAAATAAAAAATTTAAATTTGTTTCTACTCTGTTTTTCTTTTGAATCAATTTGACAAACCACCTAAAAGTATTCAAAACTCAAGCTTCCAAAATAAGAATTGAGTGAGATCTTTGAAATTACATCTACTTACGGTATAGCAAAAATATTTCAACGAAAGACAACATGTGTGAAAAACAATTTGAAAGACAACTCATGCAAAGTCAATCGAAAACAAGGATATCCAGTTGCTCTGCAAGTAGCACAGAATAGACCGGCCATATTTATTAAAAAACTACAAAAACTATACTTTCAAATGAGTGTCGTTTTTTGTGCCATAACTTTACGAAAGCGTAGAACATTGTTGAGTTATACATAATGAACAATGGTTCTCTTCGATAAAATGAAAAATCAACGAATTTTGGAAAAGTATTCACTAAATGTTTGAAAGTTTTTCCGATTTTTTCATGCAGAATACGTTTTTGATTTTTTGAAAAATGTTTATTGCTAAAGAACTTTTTATGGAATTTCCAAAAAAATAACCCGATTTAAAAAAATGTTTTCACTACTTGAAAAAAATGTGTAGTCTAATTGCAAGCAAGTAAGCGAGCGAGGAGGTCTTAAGCGGACTCCAAGATAAAGGGACCCGTTCGGAGTTTCCTTATTATTTATCACTTCTCGGTTTTTAATTTTTTACGATTCAATGTTTTTCCACAAAAAACATTAAGGTTATAATTTTAAACTCAGACTGTTTACATTCAGACCACTTTTATGAAGAACAGAGAAAATTTGCTGGAAAATGATTCAGAAAAAAAATGTTTAAAAATTTTTCCATTTTTGCCAGAAAAATATTTTGATTTTTCTGAAAAAGTTTTGTCGCTAAAAAAACTTTTAATGGAATTTCCAGAAAATTACCCCGATTTTAAAAAAAGTTTTCACTACTTGAAAAAATGTGTAATCTAATTGCAAGCAACTAAGCGAGCGAGGAGGTCATAAACGGGCTCAAAGATAGTGAGACCCGTTCGGAGTTTCCTTTATATTAATCACTTTGCGACTTTTATTTTTAACTAACCAATCGTTTTCCAAAAAAAGCCTTTAGTTTATAATTTGAACTCGGACTGTTTACATTCAGACCACTTTTATAGAGAACAAAAATAGCTGCTCCCCAAGTGATCATTTTCCAGCATGTATTAGGATCTGTTGGAGAGTGTGACTATAATTAGTATTAGACTAAGAAGTTGCACAAAACTAGACGGTAAAAATTGAAATAGCCTGACGAACAGAAGGTGTACTCAATCTCGATAGCTTAGCCACTACATGGAATGAAATCATCTGCTGCCATCATTGATTCTCAAAAAAGACCTTAATATTAATCAAATTTCAATGAAACGTTCAACTGATAGACTGAATTTCTTCGTCTCAAAATATCCGACGCATATTTTCAACTTCACAAACGATTCTTTTTTTAGTCTTTAAAAAAAATGCAGGGAAGAGAAATGTGCCGTTTTAATCATTCAAAGTTTCCATTTTGGTCAGGATAATTCGCTAAACTTTTCCAAAAAAAACTAGTTCTCGACTGTATATCTTTGTGTACACATTTTTTTATAAACTTTTTCCAAATTTTATTCGAAATACTTGACCCTCTACAGGGTTGCAACGACTTGCAAATTGACAGATATTGTTCTGAATTTTTCAGTACTTCTCGACAAATTTTAGTCAGCTTTGACAAGTATCTTTTATTATGATGGAATAGTCTGTGCTCTAGAGAAGATTTTGTTTGCTCCAGATTTTTTTCATTTTTTCAAAAAGTGCTTCTTTGCATCGTACCCATTAACAAAATTGGTATTGAATACAAAGTTTTAGCATCAATGGGAAAGCATTGCTAGAATTTCCTAGAAACCTTACTAAAAACATCTGGCATCCAAAAAGTAACTTTGACAATCAAAACTTTTTTTTAAAATCAAGCTCTATCTTGGGATTTCTTAAATTGTTATATCCGTCATAAAGCAACTTGATGTCGATCATCTCTTGAAAAACTTTTTGAAAGCTGAAGCTGTCGATTCAAACTCCAACCTTTCATAAGACCCAGGGCTAATTAATTCAAAATCATCAATATTTTGTCAAAATCATCAACATCCTTAAACACTTAACCATTCTCGATTAAGTCAAGCAGTATCTAACGACTCTTCGGAGACAATTCACTTGACTTCCACGTTTTAAATTTCCCAAGATTGAACCAATCTATAAGCCTTGATAGTGTCTAAAAATCTACTTATTTCCAAATATACCTGAACCTTGTATTGTATATAGGTTCACTTGTCTCCAATGTTACGGCATCAAATCACCTATCCTAATCCACATAGTAACCTTATAATAAATAGAAACAAGACTGCTCGTATCAGGGCGAAGCCCTGAATGTTCTGACTGCCTTTTAAGGTTTATGGAGCAGCAGTAATACATAAAAAAAATTAAATGAAATAAAATAAATGAAATTTTTTTTCTAAAATTTGAATTTTTTTATGAAAATCATCCCCCACACGCCATATAAAGTACAAAAAGATAGATTTCGTTCCTTGTAACAAATCAATTATGGCAATAGGCTTCCTTCAACCAATTTGGAACGATTTATAAGACGAATTAAATCTCCGCTTACGCGTTAATAGCGCGAATTATATCGCGCGTTAATTGTCCCAAATTGGTCAAAATGGCAATCTTTAAACCCTCATAACTTTACAAAAAATGATCACAGGTGAAATATCTTTTCAAATTTAAGCTCAAGATAGCAATACTTTTCGAATGATATAAAAAAATTCCGTCAAAAATGGCTGGCTAAAAAGTCGAAACTTGTCTGAAGAAAAAAAAACCCACCCCGAGCACAAATATTCCGTTACTTTCGTATCGAAAGTCGGAACAACAAGACTGCTCGTATCAGGGCGAAGCCCTGAATGTTCCGACTGCCTTTTAATGCTAATGGATCCGCAGTAACAACATAAAAAAATTAAATGAAGAAAAAACATAATGAATTTTTTTTTCTAAAATTTGAATTTTTTCAATGAAAATCATCCCCCCACACGCCATTTAAAGTACAAAAAGATAAATTTCGTTCCTTAAAACAAATCAATTATGGCAAATAAGCTTCGTTCAACCAATTTGGAACGATTTATAAGACGGATTAAATCTCCGCTTACGCGTTAATAGCGCGAATTATATCGCGCGTTAATTGTCCCAAATTGGTCAAAATGGCAATCTTTAAACCCTCATAACTTCACGAAAATGATCACAGGTGAAACATCTTTTCAAATTTAAGCTTAGGATAATAATATCTTTTGAATGATAAAAAAATCCGTAAAAATGGCTAGTTAAAAAGTCGAAGTTTGTCTGAAGAAAAAAAACCCACCCCGAGCACAAATATTCCGTTACTTTGGTATCGAAAGTCGGAACAAAAAATAAAGCGTGAATCCATTGATTTGGACCTTAAATCTGAAAATGAATAGGCCATTATCAAACTGTTTTTGTGCATAATTGCCAATCAAAAGAAAACTCAAACGATTAAGTTATGACACGACTTGCAGAAAAATCATCTGGTATAAAATTCGATAAGAAATCAAAATTCAAGAAAATTTTTTCAAGCAATCGCAATCAGGACGAATAATTAATTGGACGAATAATTAATTGGACGAATAATTAATCGATTATAATGGATTATAAATAATTATAATTTGATCGTAGAAAGAGAGATTATAATCGATTATTAACTGATTGAAATCGATTGTGTCTCAATTTTACTAAGACTGGTACTAAAATTGTAATATAATCGATAATTAACGCTTGAAACTGGATGCGGGTAGGCCCAACACACTCCAACACCTACAACAATAACCTCATCTACAATATGACCACAGCCCCGAAAAATAAGTACAAAACCAAGTCATACTTAACGCCCTATACAACATAGATACAATAACCACCAACAAACAATTGAAAAAGATTAGAATCAAAATCTGAACAACCCCATGCTAGGACATTTGTTCACGAAACGATGCTTTTTAGTCCACAATGAGCAGACAGGAATGATTGCTACAAAACCACAACCCTCTCCAGAGCCCCTCTCCACACCCTCTAACAGTGAACACAACCCACCCCTGGCCAACGTCTTCATCTCTGCTGAAATCCAAACATGAAAACCCTTTATCCGACAAATCAGAACCCGAGATCTATAATATTGATACAATCCTCACTAAATGCCCCCCTGAATGCCCAGACAAAAATAAGGACACGAAACCTTCTCCGATTCTAACGCATTTATAGTAATAAAAAACTATGTGCCCCAGTTTGACAACTCCTGTTTTGCACAATACAAAGACCCACCCAGTACTTCCATAGACCAAAATAGAGACACCAACCCTATCACAGACTGCTCTCCAACAATTACTCCTATCAATTCTGACACAAAAATTGAAAATCAACTCGATCATCCATGAATTTTAAATCTCACAACGACAATCAATACTCTAACAATTTCATCAACATCCCAATCAGGGACGGAACTAGGGGGGGGGGGGGGGCGTTCGCCTTTTTCCCTCAGGGATTCGACCCCCTGTTGACCCAAATGGTCCCTCCTTTGCACTATTTTGAGATATCCATTTTTGGTGATGGACCCTAAAATTTTTCTAAAGGCGCCTTCGCCGCCAATATACACTAGTTTTGAGGTGGAGCGCGCGCCGAGAAAACGCGACTTTTTGCTCAAAATTTCCAAAAAGTGCATAAAAAGCTCGAAACATTCATTTGGTCGAACTAAGAAAATGACGACAAAATTTTCGAAATTTTTTTGATAATCCGCCCCGCCCCCCTCGAGAAAAACCTAGATCCGCCCCTGATCATAATCACAAAACCCCCGCATACAACAATAACAAATTATAATTAGCACTTGACTAAGTAAACAATTTTTTACCACAAACGTCCCGACTAACACGTCGCATCATTTCGCAACTGTACACTTTTCTTTCCCGTC